GGAGCTCTGTTATCAGTCGACTGCCGCCGTGGCTTATAGTATTCAGATCATAATATCCCTAAAACATCTGACCGCGACGTACAGCCTCCTTAGAAGCAAGAGGCACCACGATCTTCATCACATAATAGTCCAGCTTGAATACTTGTGAGTGATTATCTACAACACTGTTAGCATAAAAGTAACGCTATGTTTTAAGTCAATGAACAAGAAGTGGAATCTAATTTAATGGATTCGGTCAATAATTGGTTACAGCTCACCGAGAGATGCAGTCCATTTGATGGTGTCAAGGAGAGCATTTGGAAAGAGAGGCTGTTCATCCGCTTGAAATAAATTACAGCTCTCAAAAGAAAGCCTGAATCCGATGAACAAGGGGTCATCAAGAATTCCAATTCCATTCCATGCCACCTGTTATCCGATCCTCAAAAGCAAGCAGCCAGCAAGTTTTTTCTACGAACTTCATTTCACGGCCACATCAACGTGATCTTCAATCCGAATAAGGAGATCGGGAAAGATATCAACCTTGCATAATTTAAAGCAACGCAGCTAAATCCGCCTTCGCTTTCAGAAATTATTACTTCAAGCATGCTATGAACAACAATATGTCGACCAAATCGATCTTAGTCTGTGTCAGGAAAACAGCGAATCAGATACACAGCGATGCTACGTAAATAATAATGCAAAGGAGGTTATGCATAATAACTTATAGATTTTAGAATCGGAAGTCAGCCGGTAAAAATTTTCATCAGTGAAATATGATGGAACAGATTACTTTGTAGACTGCGGTTTCCTTAAATTTGATATTGGTACATTATCTGAACATTCTAAAAAGTTGCAACCTTTAGGACATCCGTCTACTTCATACTTTGATGATAGGGATTTGTCGATTTGTGGCATTCATCATTTCAATGGCGCGTTGATCGGCGTTTCCCTTAAATCAGCAAAACTGAATGCACAGCTATGTTGAAAACATTCGGGCGCCAAATGTACTACACCGTTACGACAGTGATACTCGTTTATATACTTGGCAAAAAAATGAGTGACACGGCTTAGGCTTTAAGCGATTGCGGTCAAAATCTCTGAAAGCCTCTAATATCTCATCATTACATACTGTCGTTTACCTTATGACCCAAAATATCAAATATCCGTGAGAAATTAATTTTACACGTCCTGCTGAAGAAGCACAATGAAATACTGTTCAAAAAACTTCTGTTACAATTCTGAGTTTACGAGAAAAAAATTTTTTAGGGAAATTTAACGAATATTTTTAACGGTTGTTAGAAATACACTTCTTCATTCGTTTAAACAACGCATGTAGATGATAAGAAACTAACATTATAATCAATATTCGTTTTTACAGAAGATCGAGGACCAAATTTCGAGCTCACCGGTTATTTCTAGTCATCAGCGCGAGAACCAGACAAAACCTTGTCCCCCGAACATTATTTAAATAGCATTTTCTAGAGACATTGCTTTAATTTGGATGATTTTAACAAAGCCCAGTCAACAAGTCATCTCGGTCAACGAGAGTTACTTAATTACGGCATCATGATATGTAGTCAAGGGAAACTCGTTTCAACTAGCCACTGGAGTAGCTAATAAATTACGGAAGCATGAAGCTGGTGTTGGCATTTAACACCGGTGATCAAGAAAAACGAGTGACGATAACAGGCGGTTGAAAATAATACCTGAAGGGCAGCATAGACGAATGATGAATTGTTTGGCATTACTTCCTACGGAAAGCCATTGGCTTTGTACGAGGTTTCTTTTGCCTCGTCGTTGTCAGCCGCCGTCCAACTATTCAGCCATTCGTATTTTTTTCTTCGTCGCCATCCTCTCGTCGTCACAAAAGCGATCCACGCGACAATCAATAAAAAATGAGGCAAGTCTTCGTCTGGTGACTCTATAGTAACTGGTCGTTCGTTCACAGACAGATCCATGACAGCCGCCAGAATGAATCGCTGAACAAGATGAGCAACTCGAAAAACAATCACAACCGTTGCGACCAGCCGCTGACCAATCGCAATCGACCTCGTTACTGTGCATAAAAACGTCGAATACTTTCTGAGGCTCAAAAACCAGTAATAATGTCGGCACTACACTCAGGTTTTACAAAGAGAGTTGTGTGAAAGTCACGCACGATTCGTAATGCGCAGCTGATATGAAATATCATCGTAACCAAGAGTATGTCTGAATTGCCCGAACTCAGGTTCTCCCTCCGTGTCTCGTTTCGAAAACGACAGACAAACTTACTTGGGAGAGTACAGGAAACTATTTCTGACAGAGGCAGAAATCACTCAAGGATCATTTTGTGTTCATGTCCTAGTGGTAACGCTGAAAAAAGAACAATAGAACTGTTTTACTATAAACATTGCCATGGTCTATCGCATCTCTCAGTTTTGAATTGCTCAAGTGACAGAGTATCGGGCTCAAACCGCAAGGATCCAGCTTTTCTTCCTTCAGAAATTGATAAATGAGCACCACTCTGTGGAAAGGAAATAGGAGACTAAATGCGTAGCTTGCCACACAGCCGTAGACTAAGACTTTGAAAAATAAAGCAATTCTGGCTGATAGGACAGAAATCTCCAGATGGACGCTTTCCAATAGATTAGATACAAGTTTTCCTTTTTTTGTCCTTTCCTACTTTTCTGCGTTACAGGCGCAACTAACTCCTAAATCTATGGTTTAACTCGATTTTGACCACGAATATTTCTTTGATGTTCATACGAGTTTCTCTTCGTTTACTGTTTTGCCTTCGTCTCTGCACTATATAACTATGGCATGTTGTTTAATGTTAATTTTATTGTTGCACTCATTTGATCGAACGTTTTCCAGTTAGAGATCAGAATTGTTGCCAAGCCTCATTCCAAGAATATTCTAGAAAACGAAACGAGTCATCAGAAAGTTTTCGGCAAGTCATCGGCCACAGCTTCAAACGTTATAACGGCAATGTGTTAAAACAAAAAGTTGTACAATAAATAAAAAAGTTTAATCGGCAATTTGGTCGTAATGACCAGCCGTGTTTCAATCTCTCTGGTAAGATGTGTCTGTCTAACCGATAGCCAGCCCGTAATGAAGCTTGCTAAGATTTGAACCAAAACGTCTGGCAAGGAATAGCATCACTAACGAGGCTTCGAGGCGCAATGAAGACAAAGCGTTCGAACAGGTGCAGGCCAGGACCAACCCTTGGCAACCAATCGCCGTCTGGCACCTCGTACCTCGCCTTGGCGAACGAACGATCGCGCGACCAAGTACCGGCTACGATGGCGTCGGCGGCACTTTGAAGTAATCGTTTCGGAGCTCACTTGACGAAGTCATTGCCCCCGTCACAGGCGCGAGCAAATAACGCACAAATATGATTACAGTCTAATGGCCACCTTTCGGTTAATCGTTGTCGCCGTCGGATAACAACATGCCACGGGCGTTGGCCGTGGTTCATTACTGTAGGTGCTCAACTGTTGATCGTAATTGACCACAACAGAGCCTAGTGAACAGCAGCCGACTGTGGCGGCTTCTGCAGATCTTCCTTCTGTCCTTTTCTTCACCCATTCAGAATCACGGTCGAACTGGTCATCATTAACTGAAGAAAAGAATCAATGAGTCGACTTCCCCGTTTTAATGCGTCAGGTTATTCGACTCGCAATCAATGAATTAGTCGTTTTCGGTCGGTGCATTCATGGACTTCAAACAAGTCACTACAGAGCATACCAAAGTCTACCCTGCCATAATACTTAACAACCGATAACCTGAATAAAATAACAAAAAAAGTTCTTTCCTAAACTTTACGCAGTATCACTGCTTTCGTATCGAAAAGATCACATGCTACAGACAAAGTCTTCGTCAATCATTCAATCATTTATTTTCAATCTCGTATTGATGTCGAGTTGGTGTGTGTGTGGGGGGTGTTCATTTGCCTCAGAAGACCTTTCCAATAATTTCAGTTCGTGTCAAAGAGACCGGCACTGTTGTGTAGATTCGAATGCGCGAAAGGATATTATTTGCAGTGTCACATGTTGCGAATAATCGAGCCATTTATTTCGAACCACCCGCGTCGTGTTTTTATGGCGGCCCTTACAAGTCCTTTATGTATTATCCTCATCACATTCCGTCAAAACAAACCAAACAGTCGTGAAATCTAGCTTAAGGGTAAGGACAGTTCAAACATCTGGCCAGATTTTCGACCTTTTCGAACTTCGTCATAACAGATCGTCTGAAAAATCTCATTTTGGTAGCTGGTAAATTTGCAGATCAGAAATTGCATTCTTTCAACCATATCCAGCACCAATGACTACAGGTGAACACAGGGGTTCATATAAAACTATATTCCTTACGAACTAGTATTAATTTATGGTACTGGGAAGAGCAGGTTCGAAAGGCTTCTTGAGTGATTCTCGTACTCGGTCAATGGAGTAAATTCCTTTTCCGTGAGTAGGTGCAAGGAGCAGCCCGAAGATCGTCCAGATTTCTCAACAATCTCTAGTCAGGACAGCCTTACTCTACCGATTTACACAGTAAGGTTAACTTGCATATCTGTCCTGACTCGTGGCAGAAAGTGTTTAAGTCCGTATGCCAATGACCCACTGGCCTTCCTCAGGATGGAAGTTATCATTGCTAGTAACTGCTGTTTGCAGCTGATGTTTCAGCTGGAAGGTCTGAGAACACACATTAATGGATCTGCAGCCACCAGTAACAACATCATCATCATCTTCCATCGCCGCTTCTCCTTTCGGGTCGCGGAGGCAGACGCGTCAGACAGTGCTTCC